TTAGTTTTTTCAAATTTAATTTTTAAATAATTAAAAGAGGATATTAAGTACTAAACTATGGTATCTATCATATCACTTCCAAATGCAAATTTCCTTTACTATTTCTTATAATAATTCTGCTACTGAAAATTTCCTTCACTTCTTTTATTTGGGAAAAAAACCAACAACTTTTGAAAGCTATTTCCATTATATATAGAAATATATGTTGATGTTTTTCTTCTTAGCACATAAAAGATTTCAATTATTAGACTCCAGCTTGTGCTACTCCATCTGATCAATCTGTAGCACTCTATGTGTCTTCTGTATATCCACCTGCACTTCCTACTGGACTATGATACGCCTTAGCATGATCTCTATCAGACTTCTTCCCCTTGGCATCTGTGAGCCTCTTAAATTTGAAAGTTTCATTTTCATGAAACTTAGCCAGAATTCAGCTAATTTTAAAAGTGTTTTTCCTGCTTTCCCCACCTTAGCTTCATATGGTTCTTTATCTATGTATAGATAGAGCATATGCTACTTATATCTTGTCCAACCTCATTGTTTCTGAGGTAGATTGACTGGCTGTTAGTCAATCATGGCCAAACCCCTGACTCCTTTCAAGTTTTCTCTTTTATATTCTTTTTGCTTTATGTTTTAGTTCAATTAGTTTATAGTGCTATGTGTTCACTCTCATTGACCTTTACTTCTGCATTCTGGAATTTGCTTTTATATCTGTCCAGTGAGTTTTAAGTTTTACTTCCTTTTGCTGTTACATTTTCTCTTCACCATGTTCATTCTATGGTTTAATCTTTGACTATTTTTTTAAAACTCTAAAATTCCTTGTGTGGAAGTATGTATCATTTCTATATCTTTCAGCTGATCAGTATTTTGAAAACTAGATCATATTTTCCTATTGTTTTTATGTCTAGTGATTTTTCTTATATTTTAGACATGAATATTTTAGTATATGGTGTCTCCTTTTGGTTGAAACAGAAAAAAATCTCTCTTTCTGGAAGAGAAGTTACATGCATTATCCCCTCATCCTTTGAGGCCTTGCTTAATTTAACTTTGTTCAAGTGGGGTCTCTTTGCTCAGAGTGCTTAGAATTCAAATGTCTCCAAGCCCTGAGTAACTATTGGGAATGGTTAATCCTATAATTTCCCAAGAGTTCTCCACATATATGGACTTCTTGAATCTACATTTCTATTCTCTCTGCTCAGGGCCTGCCATATTCTGCCATGCTCTTCTTGATGCTGTGGTATAGAAAATGTCTTATAGCACAGTCTCTTCATCTCTTAGGGACCATGGTGCTGTTGTACTATAGTCTAGCATCTCCTACAGTGCCTGCCTGCTCACACATTGTGCATCTACCCGCCTACACCTCTCTCTTCTAGTGATCTCAGACTTTAGTCAGTAAATTCCTCTTTGTGGCTTCTGTGTAATTCTGGCATTTGTATAATGTTTTAAGCATTTATATGCTTTCTAGTACAATTAGAATTTAGACTCATTTACACTTTTATTGTTTCAGACCTGTTATCAGAATTTTCTCCACATAGATCTGGAATCTTTTAGTAAGAATGGTATTAAAGACCAGATGTGACCATTCTGTTTGCTAAATGCTACTAATGTATCATTGTTTCCAGGTTCAGGAAGGAATTTTTAGACATTTCAGTTTGTAAGCAAGCTAAGAAGTTCTATTAAACACTGAAAGGCTGTAACTCTTTGCATCCTATGAACTAAAACTATTTAGATTACAGCTTCTTTCTAGGACAAAATACCACACTATGAGGAAATGCAAACCCAAGATAATAAATCAAACTAAAAGGCAAAAAAATGAGAAGTGGCAGAGGACAGTAAGGAAGAAGGTCTTAGAAGTACATCTTTATTTTTCCATAATGTACTTTTATCAAGGGAGGAGGAAACTTGACATCTACAAAACTTAAAAGTATTATCCTGAAAAGTCCATGACAGAGTTAGAATTAGAAAAGATAATTAGCTTTATAGTCTCCTTTATAACTGATGTCTATTATTTGAGTGCATTCCTTCCTCATCCCTAGCATTTAGCCTTTCTGTTCTCATGTGGGTTTGGTGGTAGATAAGTGCATTAAAACATATTCCAACAGTGAAAGTTTAAATACAATTTTGGAGCTACATAGCTTCCATTCCAAATGGCTATTCAAACTATATAGAAGTTCACTGAAACGTATAGACTTTGGGTCTGGTTAATTTTAGTGAAAGATTTGTTTTTCAAGTGTTTTATAATTTTTTTTAAGTAGAAAGATCAGGAAAAGATAATATTAGATGATGAAGAAAAATGGAATGCAATCAAAAGGACACATGCATCCTGATGGAGGATGTAAAGCCAACTGTTTTTACAGTTTCAACTCTGTTGTGTTTTTTCTCAGTGTGGTGGATCTCTAATAAAGCTGTAGTTGAGTGGAAGTGTAAAACCCTAAGCAAAGCTCCATGGCTGCAGGATGGCCATCCGAACTGAGTACTAGTTATTGACACACATCAAGTTAGGGACTGGGCAAGTATTCTTTGAGTGGCTACATTAACCACTGGCTGTATGATTTTTTATTTGTGAGTTTGTTTCAGTAAAGTGATGTTATAAAATAAATAAAATGCTATCCTGCATTGTTCATCAGACATAATGCTAAGTTACTTAAGAGATAATAAAAATCAGATTACTATAAAAATCTTTTAAAGCAAGGCTTTATGCCAGTAAACAATTAAATAACTGCTTGCTATCATTAACATAGTCGAGGAAAGAAAATAAGATCCCAAATTTAATATCTATCCAAATGAACAAAGTATAAAAGCTACAAACTGCTAAAAACTTTTCTTGGGAAATATAGTATAGAACAAGCTTTGAACAATCATAATTACAGAAGGAGAGGAGGAATGTAAGGAAGAGAAAGGAAAGGAAGAAAGAAGAAAGAAAAAAGGTGGAGGAGGAGAAAGAGGAGAAGAAAACATGGGGATTGGTGGTAAGTCAAGGTTCTAAATTCTGTCATTTCACTATTTCTACGTAATGCTCTTTGTTGGGAGAGAGGAAGGGAAGTTGAGGAGAAGGGAAAATAATCTAAGCAGGATAGGGATCTAAGTATGGAACTGTAATTTTGAAACCACAATGAGGAATCTTTGGTAAGAGACTGGTCATTATGTAAGAGTAAACAAAAGAAAGGCAACTGAGAACTGCAAAAAGAAAGGTAGTATCAAAAAGAATCTACAAATAAATTGATAAGGAAAACTGTGGTGGTATGAATAAGAATGGTCTCATAGGTTCCTATATTTCAGTGCTTGGTGTCCAGGTGGTGGAACTTTTAGGAAGAATTAAGAGGTGTGGTCTTGTTGGACTTAGTCATAGGGAGTAGGTTTGGGGTTTCATATAATTACTGTGCTGATTGTGCCATTGGAGATCCAGGTTTGGGGTTTCAAAAGCCCAGGTTATTCAGATAATGCTCTTGCACTCTCCCTTTCCCCCTCCGCACTAATTTGTGGATAAATACAAGCTCTCAGCTACTGCTCCAGTGCCATGCCTGCCTGTTAGTTGCTCTGCTCCTTCTATGATGGTCACAGACTAACTCTGAAATAGTAAGTAACCCCCAATGAAAAGTTTTCTTGCATAAGTTGCCTTGATCATGTCTCTTCACAGCAAGAAATGTAACTAAGATGAAAAGAATGCTTTTACATGTGTTTATTTGTATACTTTTTATTCTTCCCTAGCCCATACTGACTAAAGCAAAAACTTAGTATGTATGACTTCTCATTACATATTAAAAACAAACAACAACAACCCACCAGTACATCAATATCCAGATTCCGTACTAAGACCTATAACTAAATAAAAATTCAAAATAGATTACACACAGAAGGAAATATTTGCTTCTTTTCCTCACTGAGAAAGGAATAGATTTTATAGCCAGTAATGTTTTAATTACTTGGTTTTTGTGCATAAGGCATAGGCTTTCAAATTTTATTTCTTGGAATAAAATCTAGTTAAGAACAGGTAAACAGGGCCAGGCAGTGGTGGCGCATGCCTTTAATCCCAGCACTTGGGAGGCAGAGGCTGGAGGATTTCTGAGTTCGAGGCCAGCCTGGTCTACAGAGTGAGTTCCAGGACAGCCAGAGATATACAGAAAAACCCTGTCTCGAAAAAAAAAAAACAACAAACAAACAAAAAAAAAGAACTGGTAAACAGGAACTGTAGCAATAACTCAGCAGTTAAGAGCATTGGCTGCCCTCCCTGGATCCAAGTTTGAGCCCCAGCTCAAATGGCCAGTTGACAACCATCTATAATGCTACTCCCAAGAGATCTGATGCCCTCTTCTGGCCTCAGAGGTCACTGCATACAGTGATGCTCAGACATACATGCAGGAAAAATACTCATGCATACAAAATAATAGGAAATTAAATATTTTTTACAAAACAGGTAAGTACATATTTTTAAATTGTGGTCCTCACTTTGTTGGAAGTACAATATGGAGTCTTCAATTTTTTTCTAGTTAAAACTGAACACATACGGGCTTTAGGAGAATTTTCTTCATATTCAATTTTTCTTTCATTCTTGTCTCCAACATAGTCTTCACAATTTCATACAAAATACATTTTTTTTTTTTTGTTTTTCGAGACAGGGTTTCTCTGTGTAGCCCTGGCTGTCCTGGAACTCACTCTGTAGATCAGGCTGGCCTCGAACTCAGAAATCCGCCTGTCTCTGCCTCTCAAATGCTGGGATTAAAGGCGTGTGCCACCACTGCCCGGCCAAAATACATTTTTTAATTTAGTAAGTGTGTGCATGTGCCTCTATGCATGAGTGCATGAGTGCATGCATGTGCGTGCGTGCGTGCGTGCGTGTGTGTGTGTGTGGCAGTCGGAAGACAGCAGGTGGGTTTGGAAAATCATACTCAGACATGGCAGCGAGTACTTTTATCCATTGCTCAAATCTTTTTTTTTTTAACATTTCACTAAATTATTTCTAGATGTTTAAGTCTCATTTCTCTATGCCATCATGTACTTACATGGGATGGTTCTCAAGTAGAGATTATCTCTGATGACTTGCTGTAGTTTGTGGTCAATTGATCCTTTCTGAAACTGAAGGCTCAGGTAGTGTCGCAAATCTTTATTTATGACTTTGCCTACCAAAAAAAAGAAAACAAAATATATAACTATGAGATATTTGTTTAAATATATAAAAATAGTAATCAAGTATCTTTAAATCATTTAAATCATTTTTTAAATCCTTTTAATAACAGGACATGGAAATCAGTATTTGACCTACAAGAAGGTAAGCAATACCAAATTATTCTAAGTACTATAATTAAAAGAAATGATTGCAGTATAATTTAGGTATAATTTTAAGACAGGAGAACATATAGATCAGAGAATATAATGAACATTCAAAGTAATCTCATTCAGTCTCATGGCTTTAAATACCATTATATCCTAAAAGCTCCAAATTCAGATCATATGTTCATCGCTAAGTTATCTTTATTTAACTCCCATCTCATATACATTGCAGATGACATATCTGGAGATTTCAGATACGTGTTTCAAATATCAGACAGACAAAACAAAACTCTTCCACCATCTACCCCAGTTTTCTTTCTCTTAGAACACAGCAGCACCACCAGCTGGAAGAACAATCCTAAATCTTAAAGCTATCCTTGATTTTGCTCCACCTCTGTGCTCCAGACCTATCTATTAGCAATTTTTGTCAGCTTCCAAATCATATACCATTACAAGAATTGGTTTTCAGCCTCTCCAGGGTTGTCAATCCTACCTCCTCTCATCTTGGGACCATTATTTGGGTTCTTTTTGCTTATTTCTTCTGGTCCCTGGGCCTCAAATAGGCTGACTAACTCTGTGAAACAACAGATAAATAATTTGGTAGCAAAACCTACTCAGATACATTATCATAAGTTAGCTATGGAGGACCACGAGACTCAAGATGAGGTTGTTACATTATCCAGGGTGTTCCCAAAACCCATCTCCACCCAACCTAAAAGAGGGGACTTCTACCCCTAGACCAGGCAGAGAGGGGCCACCCAGAACCACCTCTGACAGGCGACCTGAATTCTTGCTTAGGCTGTGAGGCTAAGCACTACAAGGGAATATCAATAAAAGTTAAAAAAAATCTCTCTGGGTTCCCTGAGGGACAAGCCTGACTGCATAGGGGTTGATGTCAAAAGTATCCCCTCTCCAGGAAAAAGACATCAGGATGGGTATGGCCCTCATGCCTCACTGGACAACAACAGGGGGACCGGAGCCATTACAAGGTCCCCTTCAATTACTGGAGGTCAGGCCTCTATCCCCACCTTCACAAGATTAGATTCACCACAGCCCTTCTATACTTAGAGAAGGGAGGAGATGTCAGGGGCAGCCCTGCTTACACACTGAAGGCCTAAAATCAGCCATAGGCCTAAAATCAGCAATAGGCCTGTCATACATGTATGCTAACACCAAGTCTTGGGTCTCTGTGCAAAAACATTGAAACAGATGGCTATAAGCTATTGTAAACAGGCAGTTTTTGTGACAATTTACCAGCCTGAGTAGCCGTAGATCTTGTAAATAGGTAGCCTTGGCAGATATTACCAACTTAGATAAGGACAAGTAAATCATAGGCAGAGTCATAGTGAATTGTCCCCTGAACCTTCACCCAGCCAATACCCTGTTCTGAAAGATATCTGTACTCCCCCTGAACACCCACACTCCAGTGTCATTCCCTTCCCCACGTCCTGCATTTTTGTGTTTATAACTCCTGTGTGAATGAGTAAAAATTACAACTTGAAAATAAATAAATAAAAAAAAATCATATACCATTTTCATCAAAGGCATCTTAATCTAATCTACCACCATCACTTCTCATCTGGAAACATCCTTCTAATCAGCTTCCCTATATTCATTGTGTCTCCTTTCTTCCCACCGCCCACTCAGTCACCAGAGTGAGATGTACAACAGATTAGGTCAGTGTTAGTATGTGTAAAGATGCCCCCATCCTCATGACTTTCTATTGCACTTGAAATAAAATCCAAAATCTTGTTCAGGATGTAGTAGGTCCCACATGTTCCAGCTTTGGCAATCTCTAACCCTAATTAATTAATTCTTCAATCCTGCTCTTTAAAAAACAAACAAACAAACAAACAAACAAACCACAACTGGGCCCTAGCAGAACAGTCAAGTCTACTTGTTGATTCCTAAATACAATGTGAATAAGTGAGACAGCCCCAAATGTTTTGTTATTTCTTTGGAAATTGGAAATAGGAACAGCAAACAGAAGGTTGCAGAAATCTCAAAGCTATAATTTTTAACAAAGACTTAAGTTTAAATGAAAAAGGAGTGCAAACATTGTTCATTAGACAAGACTGTAGATAATTAGAAAGATCAAGGCTCAGATAAAACATTATCTCACTGCATAAGAAATGACTAGCTGACTACACTGAGCTTTATTTGGAACAACATATTCACATTGTTTTATAACAAAGGCTTACTACTGATCAGTTTATCCTGTTATCTACTATTCCGTAACACTGCATCTCTAGTCTTTTTTGTTGTTTTCTATTACATATAAATACACAGAACCTACATGGCAACATAACCAGGAAATCAACTTGTTTCTAAAGTTCAGAAATAGCATTTAGCCCATAGTAATAAACATAAACCAAAACAATGCCCTTGTCTTAACAAAAATATACATGGAGGAAGGGGGAGAACCACTTTGATGACAAAAAACAACCCTGAAGATATTTGCAACGATGAACACAGAACAACCCCTATCTTACAATATGTTTTGTCCAAGCACTAGGATCCCACTAATCCACCCCAATTCAAAATCATATTGTCTTACTTTTATTTATACTCCAGCAGGTGCTCACTGCTGAGTAGGTGAAAAAGCCTAATATATAATCTGCTCAATACTCACTGAACACAAATCAACCTCATAATGAGTTCATTAAGTATTTTTACAATTTGGTAAGGGGAGTCTTAAGCTCTTTGTAAATATTAGACAGAAGCTTTGGAGGATTGTAACTACATGGCTGAAACTTTCAGATATATGGATAGGCTTTTTGAATGAACAGAAATGTATCTACTTCTTTTTCATTTAAAACAATAACATAGGTGACAAAATCTAAAACTTGACTCACCGACATATCTTCTGGGAAAGATTTAGCTTTGGTAAAAGGAAATACAGGTATAACTTAAAAAGATAATTTGAGTCAACACTTTACCTTTTCTTAAACTCAAAACTTTTAAGATACGGCATAATTTAGAGATAGCCATAAAATGCTTAAAATCTACATTAGATTTTAAGTTATAGAAATAATGTCTTTTAGCTTAGAGATAATTAAAAGATAAAGCCACAATAAAGTTCAAAATCACAAATTATCTTGCATGATGGATTTCTTAAGGGAAAATGAAGTTAACCCAACTCTTATTTTAAGGGCCTTTGATGTGTTTAAAAACCAGTTAACACAGAAAAGGCTAAATTTAAAGAGTAATGTCCATAATTATCAGAACTGGAATCACACTAGGTTTTTACCATCAACTCCTACTGGGATGGGCAGTCACAAAGAAAAGGATGAGAGACAACTGCATTCAAAACTGCATTTCAAAATTGGCATTTTAAGCCGGGCAGTGTTGGCGAATGCCTTTAATCCCAGCTCTTGGGAGGCAGAGGCAGGCGGATTTCTGAGTTCAAGGCCAGCCTGGTCTACACAGTGAGTTCCAGGACAGCCAGGGCTATACAGAGAAACCCTATATTGAAAAACAAACAATCAAACAAAACAAAAAAATTGGCATTTTAAATAAAACATGCAACTAGAGGCTGAAGGTGGAGTTCTTGTTTAGCACCACTAAAACTGAAAATAATATCTGCAACTATTTTTAGAAACTCCAAGTTTTTGTTATTTTGAGTATGTATGCATGAATGTATGTGCACCACGTGTGTCCTGGAGTTGGAAGAGGCAAGAAGAGGGTCTCAGATCTCCTGGAACTAGAGTTATGGATGGTTGTGAGCCACCATGTGGGTGTTGGGAACCAAACCAGGGTACTCTGCAAAGGCAGTAAATGCTTTTAACTGATGAGCCAAGTCTCCAGTCCCTCCATCGTTGCTTCTTGACGATCAAGACAATATACTGTAAATTATATATAATGAAAATTTAATAAAACTGAGTTGATGTTATTTAAGATTAACAACTGATAATAAAGTGTTCTAAATATAGCATTCATAACGGACTTTTCTATTTTCAGAAACTAAAAGAACTTGCTAAAGAACGAAGCATATAATGTTTCTTCTATATGTTTCAGAGAATTAAAAAAAATCAGAAGGCCAACAAATATATTAATTCACAAGGACACTGTTGTCCTACAGAGATGGCTCAGCAGTTAGGAGCACTTGTTGCTCTTGCAGATCACCCACATGGTGGCTCACAGCTGCCTGCAATTCCAGTTCCAGATCCTAAGCCGTCTTATGACTTCTATAGGTACTGTATGATCCTGGTGTATAATATGTAATGCAGGCAAAACACTCATACAAATAAAATTAGATAAATCTAAAAATAAAAAGACACTGAGCACATCTATATATGATTAGTCTCTCCCTCTCCCTCTTTCTCTCTCTCCCTCTTTCTCTCTCTCTCTCTCCATCCCCCTCCTCTTTCCTCCCCTCCCCTCCCTTCCCTCTCTCTCTGAAACTTGACATCTCAAGGGCATGAAAACTTCTACCTGAGGCTAATATAAGTGTTATTAAACAAATACAAACAAAAGTCTTTATAATGTGAACATTCTTACCTAGACAGTCTATGCTTTAAAAACTATTGCTCTTTGAATTATATTCTTTGCTTTAATTTTATGAATAGTGAAACTGGCTTATGAAATTTAAAAGTATATATACACCAGACAAATAGTTTGGCCAGATGAATGTCTGTAACTGGTATTTCAATTGTATGAAAATATCCAGGCAGTCAAGTGTGGATATACAACTCCTTAGTCAGGAATTCACAGCTACAAACCCACAGTTACTGAATATATGCAAACTCTGATTCACCACCAGTTCTCATTGAGAAATCAGTGAATAAAGCAACTGGCTATTATTTGGATTAACCCTGAGTCCTGTTGACATGGGTTCAGCATGCAATCA